TATGTATATATATGTATATATATGTATATATATGTATATATATGTATATATATGTATATATATGTATATATATGTATATATATGTATATATATGTATATATATGTATATATATGTATATATATGTATATATATATGTATATATATATATATATATATATATATATATATATATATATATATATATATATATATATATATATATATATACACATACATATACTGTATATTACAGTCTCTAGGCAAATAGACACAAAACATTCCATTGCTACCTTGATCATGAACCTAAATTATACAATTTCAAAAGAGAATACTTTATAGATAGATTGACATTTCAGCAAAGGTCCTGTTCACAATTCCTGGTTCCTTTTGTATCTAGTGAGGTACACTGATAAATAATAAAACCATGCTTTCCGATAGTTTTTGCTGTAATCAAAGTTAGTTTAATTTCCTTTCATATTCAAAATAACACCATTATATCAACGCTGGAATACATGATGATCCTTGCCTCCACCACTTGCAATTTCTTCATAAGTCACATGGTTGAAAATAAAGGTGAGATGCGTACAAGAAATATTCTGCAGACACGAACAGTAATCTCATAAATAAACGAAAAAGATTGTGGAAAGACCACTGAGAGCTCTTGAGTTTCAGCTCTCTCTTGCCATGCATACCAAGGTGAAGATAGTGTCTCCAATTGGGTGTCTGGGGGCAGAGCGTTCCATCAACCTTCCCCTCGGGCAGTGCCTGTATTGTAAAGAATTACCATAGGTGATAACCCTCTCTCATCTACTGAGCATAGCCCAACCCTCTTTCCAATTTCCTCTGCCACATACAGGCAGCCTCCTTTCAAAACTAATGTGTTGTGAGTAATAACTACACCATGTTTCACAACATCTAATTTTCGCCTTTCTCTTTTGTGTTAATTTTTCTTGATAATTCTTTTGAATAGGATGCACTTGTCAGAGATGAAGTCCTCAACACCACTTCACAAAATTTATTCAACAATCTACATTGCCATGACTGGGTATACCCTTCAGGAACTACCTAAGAGGGGGGTTGAATGGGGGCTCTGTATCCCCAGTATCACCCCAACAAACACCTCAGTATGCATGGCAAGATACAGCTGAAACTCAGGAACACCAAATGGACTTCAGATATGAGCAGTGCTTTCCGCAATCTCTTTCATTTTTTGTGGCATTACTGTTCATGTCTGCAGGTTATTTCTGTATCTTTTTGTCCTCTAATAGATCATCTTGAATTTGCCTTAGCCTTGTGTAGAAAAATGTAGAAAGTACTCTTTTTAGTAATGTTTTATGAAAATACATGTTTACAGTCCACATTACATCCTTTAATAATATATTCCTCAGGGATATTGTGTATCATCAAATCATCAGTTATTCTATTTTTCTGTTCCAAATTAATGATGAATAAAGGGGATTCCCTATACAATTTTCCTCATACCTCCCTTTGCACACTTAACTTAAACACATTTGACTCAAACCAGATTTGTACTAATGTGGGAAAAATCAACTCACTTGTACATTTTCTTTTCAACTTTTGTGACATATCATGTTATAGAGCAACAAATCAGTAACTAAAATGTTGCAAATTAACCCATTGACGCTGGGGAAAATAAATAAAAAATGGGGAAAATGCTGTGCTCATTTTTTATATTTATTGTGAAATGTCTCTACACATAGATGGCTCTGCCTTACCTGATTTCACCTTTCCTTAAATTGACGGGAAATTTTTTTACTAGTGCTATGAATATCGATGGTGTTATTTTTATTATAAACATTATAAATACTATAATGTTATAAACATTAGTAATAGAAAAATAAGATAACATAAAATATTTTCTTAAATTAAAGAAAAGGGTAAACGGGCGAGACAGGCAGTACTCGTAACTGGCTCATTTTTTATTTAGTACAAGTGTAGTCATCTATGTGTAAAAACAATTAAACAAGTAAACTCACACTGGGTATGGCATGTACGTACATGCCATGCCCGTCGGGAATGGGTAAACATGCCAGTTGAATCCCACTGCAAATGGCTAATCTTCACAATGTGTATATTATGAAGTTATTGATGTGCCCGACTATTCCCTTAGCCAAGTCATATACTTTATTGTGTTACAATTAAAAATATTTAAGAAGTGGAAAAGAAACTGAAAATTATCACTTTAGCACTATACATGCAGGTTCAGTGCTGTAGAGTTAATTTGAAACTAATTTTACTAGAGTCATTTTAGATTTATGTTCGGAATTAAAACCCTAAACGGACATGAACACTGAACTATTGAGATCAATAATAAATCTGCATAATTTCTAAACAGCCTTTCCCTATTTAGGAAACTTTCTAGCTTGGTTCGAGATGAAATATGGTAACCAATATCTAACCAAAATATAATACAAGGCTTATTTCTAAAGCTTATATCAGTGTCTGCGAGTCAACTTCTTGTACCGAAAAAGACCCACATCTTGGTACAAAATAACAATAATAATAATAAATAATAATAAATAAGATAAGATAAAATACAAACATTTCTTCTCGACGCCTTCGTATATCTTACACCGAAGAAAATGCTTTTACGATAAACGCAACAATATAGTAATATTATCCTCCGTAAGCTCATAGTCTTTGTAAAAACCGAAAAAAAACACAAAAATTTCGAGAAATAACGATTTTAAATATGTTTAAAATACGCCCCTTTTCCTGTTGCTTTTCCTGTCAGACTCGAGACTCCTTCGTGAAAATATTATCATTTCTTATTACATATTTTTTCCTAAATAATACAGTCACTTAGACATAACATTCGCCATTGGTACTTACCTTGCGAGGATAAATTGGCAAGAAAATCGACTTAAACCGCTGAAAACTGGGCATAAAAACAACAGAATCTTCTTCACACCCGAGACTCTCCTCGCTCTAACGTAAACAAGACTTCGTGGCGTCTATGAAACAAAAGACGGTCGCTCCGCCTCGCCCGAAACCCGATTCTTGGATGTCGATATTAAGGGAGTATAGACTACTATAGAGTCTAAAACCCTATAAAAGAAGAAGAAGAATGTTCATATTGTTATCAATATTGACATTATAATTAGCATATAATTGATATTAGTATAATTGTGATTATTAGTGTCTATATAATCACACTATTATCAGCATTATTACCGGTAATTCTTATTTTATCATTATAACGTCTATAAAACAAAAGACGGTCGCTCCGCCCTCTTCTTTCTCTATGGCGGCCTTTAGGAATATAATTTAACCATGAGAATGAAATACATGACATGAATATTGCATTTTTATTATTTTCTCATTCATGCTAATCTGTATTTTCTGAGAATGACTCCGTGATGTAACGTTAACACGTACTGTCAGAAATCCCCGCGCCATCTCTCGCTTTCCTCTCCATTTTCTGTTGTCTATACAGAGATATCATTTGAATGCTACAACTTTGGGAAATGTATATCTAAGTTTAATTCATATCTAATAATCACACCTAAAAAAAAAAGATGGCATTTGCGCTGATAGGATTGAAAATGCTATATCATGAAAAGAGGATTCTGTAACGTTTTATGTACAGTTGCCTAATGTTATAATCTGCAAAGTGGTGCACTGTGTCTATCTTTTATATATATTCAGATTTTTTTACACGGATGAAAAAAATAACATAGATGTACTCGCATACAGTCCTTCTCCCTCTGTTTCTCATTCGTTCTGTCTGTCTGTCTGTCTGTCTGTCTGTCTGTCTCTCTCTCTCTCTCTCTCTCTCTCTCTCTCTCTCTCTCTCTCTCTCTCTCTCTCTCTCTCTCTCTCTCTCTCTCTCTCTCTCTCCCTCTCTCTCTCTCTATCTATCTATCTATCTATCTATCTATATATCTATCTATCTATCTATCTATCTCTCCCTCTCTCTCTCCACTCTCTCTCCTCTCTCTCTCCTCTCTCTCTCCTCTCTCTCTTCACTCTCTCTCCTCTCTCTCTCCTCTCTCTCTCCTCTCTCTCTCTCTCTCCTCTCTCTCTCTCTCCTCTCTTTCTCCTCTCTCTCTCCTCTTTCTCTCTCCTCTCTCCCTCTCCTCTCTCTCTCTCCTCTCTCACTCTCCTCTCTGTGATTTTAAAATCACCCAGAAAAAGTGACAAACGCATAAACATAACCCGCTATTTTGAAGGTGAAGAGCATAGAATATTGTTGAATAACACTTTTCTCTCTATTTTCTATCTTAAATGAAATTTAGCCTAATATTTCCAAATGTTTGCGGAGATCTTCATAATCTTATTTGAGACCCCCCTAAAATGGGTGTTTATTTTCTATCACTTGAAAGCAATTAAAGAACGATATTATTTTAGGGGAAGCAAAAGTAAAATGTCTATTTTCAATAATGAAAACTAAAAACATTTTAATAACCATTATTCTAAAGGTGTTTACATATTCTGATGGAGTATGGAATAAAATTAAGGCTATTTCACATTTGTGCATCATTTGGGTTCATAATTGTTGCCTTACGTCCAGTAATCACCGGGAAAAACCGTGCTGAGGGGAAGCTTTACTGAGAGCAGCAACTTCAGAGTCGTTCTGCGTTCCTCCAGTAAGTGAGCAGCATTTGTTTAGCAATTGGCCAGTATTTATTTATTTATTTATTTTACTTTGTTATCGGGCACCAGTTGGACACGAATCGTCTCCTGACAAAAAAAAAAAAAAAAAAAAAAAAAAACGCTAACTTTAAATGCCCAGACTGATTGTTGTTGACGGTTCAGACATAGCCAGCTGTCGAGTAGTCGTTGCTATGATTGTGCAACTTCCTTCAGCAATCGGGCAATATTTGCACAGAGTCGTGTCAGAATGTTCCACGTAAATAGGGCCGACCAACGTGCACCAATTTCCAACGATATCAAGCTTCGTCCCAAGTTCGCCTACTTGATTGTTAGTTTAATGGATTTCCACACGCAGTTTTCTTTTGTAATACATTCAAAAGTTATGCAATAAAACGAAGGTGTGTAAAAGTTTCATTCAATGCTTTTATTCTTGATAGCTGCACATTCACTTGTCCTTCTGACCCAATTATCATATGATGTCCATTTCATATATTCTTATTTGATTTGTAATGGTTCGTTAATGCTTAATTTACAAACATTTTAGCTTATGTTTTGTTTTACTTCAGCACTTTCATTTTCATTATGAATATGTAGCTTCATTTCCATATCTTTTCGTGTTGTGAAAATATACGTATGTGAAATAAAGCACAAAGACACACACAAATATACATGTGTGTGTGTGTGTGTGTGTGTGTGTGTGTGTGTGTGTGTGTGTGTGTGTGTGTGTGTGTGTGTGTGAGTGTGTGTGTGTGTGTGTGTGCATATAAGTACTATATATACAGGTACACATTAAGTTTACTCTACAGTGATTTTTCAGAATATGAAATGGAAGGCGAAGGCCGCGTTTAAAGACAAGAGGGTAAATTGAAACGCCCTCAAAACGCTTCGATTTACTCCCACTGCCAATAAAAACCTCATGAAGCTCTCCCTTCCTCATTTTCCTCCTCCAGCAGCTATCCACGCGTCGACCTCTTCCTCCACGAAGACCAGAGGCCCAGCGGAGTTCAGCACAAGGTCGTGGAACTTGCGGACGTCGAAGACCTCCCCCAGCTCTGCGGCAGCTCTGGCCCGCAGGTTGGAAATGGTCAGCTGGCCGACCTTGTAAGCGACTGCCTGACCCGGCTGCGTGATGTAGCGGTCGACCTCGTTCTTAAGAGAGAAAGGAAGACAGGGAGAGAAAAATTACATGGAATTCGTATCTTATGGGTGAGTTTTGGCGAGCAAATCATTATATGTTTGTGTTGTTTCTTGATACGAGATGTGATTAAGGTAATGTCAAGTTGATAAGATGAAGCAGTTGAAACATCGAGTGCACTCAAAGACCACACCCACCTCGATGTTCTTGAGGGACAGGGCAGAGTGTTGTGTCAAGAAGTCAACGGCCTCCTGACGAGTCCAGCCAAGGGCGTGCATGCCCGTGTCCACCACCAGACGGCAAGCTCTGAAGATCTCGAAGGAGTAGTGGCCGTACCTGTAAAAAAAGGGGATATTGAAGGAGTCCCCCTTTGCAATCCATCAATATGCTTGGTATCTTAGCTCCCCCTGTCGCTCGCTCACTCTTCCTTGCTTTGGCTATCACCTTCTCTTAAATTTCTCGAACGCTATCTAAGCCTATGTTCACCAATCAAACACATAGTTGCTATATATCCATCTCCAACCTCCCTTCACAACAATATACACCATCATGATCTTCTGCAAAGTCAGAACTCCTACAGCAGGTACCTGTCGTAGGGATCTCCGTAGAGTCCCATGTCGAAGCCAAGACTCTCGGAATAAAGCCCCCATCCCTCGAGGAAGCCGGTGTTCATGGGGAACCTGGAGGGAGCCTGGTAGTAGTTCCTGTCTTCCATGACTCTCCTGAAGTAGGGCATGCTGGGGGACTCGAGGCTGTGAGAGCCCTGCAGGTGGTGGCCCGGGTTGCCTTCGTGCAGGGAGAGGGTCATGATCTCGTAGGTCGGCCTTGAGGCGAGAGGACGGGTTAGTGAGGGAAGGAAAGAGAGGGGAAGGGAGGTGGGAGAGGGGAGGGAAAGAGGAAAAGGGGAGGGAAGGGAGAGAGAGAAAGGAAGTGGGAGAGGGAACGGAAGGGTTAGTGAGGGAAGGAGAGAGAGGTAAGGGAAAGGGGAGAGGGAAGGTAGGAGGGAGAGGGAAAGGAAGGAAGGAGAAGGAAGGGAAAGGAAGGAATGAGAAGAAAGGGAAAGGGAGAGGGAAGGGAAGGAGGGAGACGGGAGAGGACGAAGAGAAAAAAGAGGGTAAGGGAGGATGGGGGTAAACATAAAGAAACAGAGACAAAGAGAGAGAGAGAGGGAAATCATACGCAAAAATATAGACTTGATATGTGGAACAGAACCTACTACGGATTCCTATCATTGGATCCCACAGTCCAACCTGTATACCTAAATTTCATGACATACATGGTAATCATATCAACATTAATAACTGAAGAGCGACACATTTCAATAAAAAATGTAACAAACTTCTTACTGTTTATCATAGAAATAAGTGTTTACGTAGAAGATGCCGGGCCGAGAGCCGTCGTAGGATCCTGTCGTGTAGAAAGCAGCAGTGCCATCCGGAGAGGGCCTTGCCACCAACCTGCACCGAACACACAAATGCCGACGTCATTATCACCGTAGTCGTTATGGTAATAACATCATTATCCTCATTATCCCTTTGATATCAAATCTTAGCCATGATCCTTTGGGCATAAACGCAAAGTCATGATACCTTTGGTACCTACGCGATCCGTTCGGTACTAACACTCACTTCATCTTTATTAGAAAAAAACCCTAATTCTTTATATTTTCCATTTCCTTTCTCTCGTCCTATAAAACACGCACACACACACACACACATACGCATACACACACACGCCCACGCCCACGCACACGTCCACGTCCACGTCC